TGAACCATGCGGCATGGCCGGCCTGGGGGCTTCAACACTGCCCTGGACGGAAGTCATGCTCGACAGCGCCTGCACAAAACACGAAGAAGGGTCCCTGGGAGGAGTCAGTCGCGGCTGTGGATGTCTCCCAGATGACCGTAGTATTCCTTACCACTAATTTACCTTGTTCAACCCATATTTCCGAAATGACCATTACAGGCCCAAAAGGACCTACTCCGAGCTAAATGAAACCAGCGTTGCGTAAAAGCTTGCTACAAATATTCAATGGATCATAAATACGTGATGTATTGTTGGTATCACGGAACTTTTGCAGAAATGGGCGGGGTAAGCGCGGTTTCTTTCCTTGTTATTCGTCGCATGGTTAAGTAAAACCAGAGCTTGAAGATGAACTAATAGGAGAAAGTTGCAAGATGAGAGGTGTTACAACATGTTTTGGTATGTCAGTATATGTTTAGGTATACCAACATTTAGACTACAGAACTGAAAGACGTAGGAAGACAGATAGGAGATGGTGCGCGAATCGTGATGCGCCGAGCCGACAATTTGCCCGTCGTCGTCATCTTGGCGACCCTGGCGTCACCAGCGAATTCAGCAGGATCCTTCAAACCGGCTTACGGCTAGGGTCGTTTGATAGTCCCTGCTAATGCCGCTTTTGGGAGGTGTTCATCTTTCTGAAACAGTGGGTGAGTGCGCTTCGGGCTTTGCTTATGGAAATGTTACGACCCACAAAGCTGGGAGCCCCTGAGACTCAGCACTTCTCAAGAGGTCGCCCCGACGACGAGTAAATAAGCAGAGAGGCTAACACGACTTTAAAGGCCATATACCCCAGCTCAGCATTGCACTGACTCTGTTAATGAGCGTCTTGAAATTTTGCGAGCTAAACACGCTGCTGGTGAGCTTGCGTCGATCGATGTAGAGAGCCTGTTCACCAACGTCGCTGCTGGTGAGCTTGCGTCGATCGATGTAGAGAGCCGGTTCACCAACGTCCCGGTTGACGCCATCATCAGGATCATCCTAGATGCGGTGCATCATAATCGGTGCAATGCTCTTCTCCCTCTTTTGCTTTTTTCCACCATTCTCCAGAATCCATTAAGCACATGTGTTTAATGCACCGTTTAGGAGCTCGGATGGCAAGCTATACGTACCGAAAGATAGGGGGCTGTACGTTTCCTTCTCGAGCCAAATTTTGCCAATTTCTGCATGGCTCGAGTTGAAAACGTCGTGATCGCCGACCCTGCGACGGCCCTGCAACATACTGCAGGCATGTCGATGACATTAGGGTTGACGTAAAGAGGTTGGATTATTTGCGCCGTCCCAGCATTTTGCAGCATTCGACGACATCTCAGTCCTCCACTTACGTATGAGAAAAGCCAGGACAACGTGCTTCCGTTCCTAGATGTACTAGTAGAGGCCCGGCGGAGTCTTTTGGAAAACACCGTGTGTCGGGGACTCTCTGGTGTTTGAGTCACAACGAACATCTGCAGTGGATGCTTCGAGAGATATAGATGGGACGTTATTAAATTATTTGTCCATAAGCTAGATGGATCTATGTCGTGTGTGTTTTGTCGCGGAAATGTGCTCGAAGTCGTTTAAATATATGCATACATACGCCACGCGGACCCATCAATCAGCAGACAGCTCAATACGCGGGGAACTCTAGCCCTTTACAAAGACGTCTCGTTGGGCCACAGGTAGGAACTAATACGTCAATACAGTGTGACTGTGGAGAAAAGAACTTTGGTGAGAGGAGGGCAATTTAGCAGTTTAGAATTAGCTTCCACGAGTGTTTGCTTTAAAGTAGTCCCTGATGATATCCAGCACGCGTCGCGTGTTTGTGACAGAAATGAAAAGAACCACGGTGGCTTTTTGTGGGAAGCCTGCAAGTTATGGTGTATAGATTTAGATTATTCGGTAATGTAATCAATTAATTATGAGCCATGGTAGGTGGCAACTGATATTGAGTGTGATAATGGCGATCTTAAGCTCCTGTCTTGTCAATGTCCAAAGATTGACGAAACGTTGACAAAATACAAAAAAAAGATGGGACTCTGGTTTATTTGGACTGTTCTCGCTATCAGGTTTGCTTCAGTTCAAAACCCGCACAACCCAGAAAGCTAGAGTTTGTACACGAGACTGAAAGCTGTGTGATGTGTATGTGCTTTTGTAATTCATGTGTATGTGTATGTAGGTCATATTAGGTAGCTTTGCTACAAATGGGCCGTGTGTCGTAAAAGTGCAGTACCAGGTACAGAAGCCAACTTCGTGTCTGCTGCCCTCGAAATCGCAAGCATGAATGGACCTGCGGACAGTGGGAGCGGACACTTCCTTTGTCCGTAACTGGCCTGGTGCGCTGAAAAGCAGTGTCGTATTTAGACCAGACTTGGACCGTTTTAATGTTGACATGGTGCACAAAAGCTGCCCGTGGCAAGGCACCGTTCGCGTAAGCAAGCACGGCTTCTCGATGGATTATACATCGCATTGCCTCAATGTATTGCACTTCATGTAAACACCGTTTCAGGTCGTGAACGCAACGCTTTTGGTCCTCAGGCCGATTCTGGACTTGACAAAGAGGTAGGCCTATGTTGCGTATTCTGTGTGATAAGGAGACCTATCTATACTGCGCATTACTGTTGTTATTGTTGTACATATTGTTATTGTGTGCGAAGCGCGGGCGCAGAAACCAGCGATTGCCTTGAGTATCCTTAAAGTGATGGTATGAATGTGACACCTAGCGGTATTTACGGCGTCGACGCCAGACGCAGAAGGTTGTCTGTACTGGCTTTCTTTGCGGATCACCTGCACACAGACGTGTGTCTGGAGCCGAGATCCGGTCCCGGGAGGCCATTAGCATGGAACCCTCTGTACTGGCTTTCTTTCGCGGATCACTTGCGGACAGACGCGCGCCTGGAGCCGGGATCCGGTCCCGGGAGGCCACTACCATGGGACCCTCTGTACTTCCGGATCAACCCTTCGGATCGGCACAAGTCTGCTTGCACATAACATTGGCGTGGCGAATGCATAAACACAAGCATGCACGCCCCTCCCGGGATAGGCTGGATGGGCATCTCACCCGGCCACCGAACTGAGAAAGGCTGCTTTTGCGCGTGGGGACCTCGGAGGCGCATCACTCCTTAGACTAGGTTCGAAGGACGCACGTCGCGGGCTTTTTATCGCCCATCTTGCCTTGTTGTCACCATTGCTCGATAGCGCTGTGTCAAGGAATGGAGCAGCCTGCTGAGCAGAGCGGCGTCAGGTCAGGCCTGTACAGCGTGAAATTGAGCCATGCAGGCCGGGGTGTCGCACTGTTTGCGTCGGCTGAAACCCTTCCATCACGCAGCTCAATTACGCCGTCGCCCGTGTTTTTCGCCTGTGATGCCAAACCTGCTGTCGAGGCCGCGCAGGCAGCTAGCTCACCCAGCACCTCTGTACTCTTCTTGCATGGTAGGTCGAAACGGTGCGCGTTACAATGTAAAGCGTATATACGCCTGCATTCGTGAGGAATGTTTTCGTCGCAGCTTTTCCGACTTTCGCATTATATTAGACCTCCGCACTGCCACTGTCGGGGAAAAGAATACAGCAACCTGCATGCGTTAAAATTACTACAGAACGCCAGCGTTCCTTTGCTTTATGTTGGTCATTTCCTGGCCGTTCTCTTACTGCCCGTGCACTGATGACATGTTGTGGCTCACAAACACCACATGGTAGAAGGAGGGCTTGCAGTCAGAAACGCTCGCCAGTGAATCCACAGGGATAATTATCATTGCATATGACACCAAAAAGTACACCTGGGACGGCCAAAATACAGATGTGAAATCAAGTTAGATAAAATCTCAAGCATAAGAAGCAGGTTTGCACTTTAAAGTATATCTGCCACTATAATTGTGTTAGCCAGCACTCATTCAAAGACCAGAAGTTTGGAAGGCCTTAGCCACTTTGCCGCAATGCTTTGTGTGTACGTTGGTACTGCTGGCGATACGGAATCAGTCCCATGCGCTGAAGCCTGACCTGATGGGGCTCTCGCAGGCTTGCAACTTACTGAAAACGTAATGCTCATGAAAATAGCTGTTTTGGCAAATGATGAATAAATAATTATTTAATAACTCTTCAGTGTTTGTTTTTTAACCATGCAACTTTTATCAGAGATTTTCGGCCATAAAGTTTTGCAGAAATTTTTAAAAAATATTTGTTAAGATGAATAAATTGATAAAATTGCGGTCAGCAAGCTATAAGTAAGATTATGCTTTTATGGACAGGTATGACGCCAGATCGCTTCCTACCGAAGCTTTTTCACTTTCACTAAAAACATTCGATGGTATCTCAGACGCAGACGCGACAACATGAACACCCATATCGTTGGAGCGCCCCTATTCATATGTATATAACACTTACATTACACACCTTCACATGATCCAATATGAATGATTCTAGAATGACACGGTCCTCAAAGCCTGCTTGGCTCCACTCAGCACCGATATAAGCATTGATGGCGCAGTCGGTATCCAACGCTCTCGACCCATTCACATTGCTGATTGTTAAGGCTTTAGCTTTAGAATAAGTTTAGCGCTAGAATTTGGGTGAAATGAAGGCATGGACTGAAGAAATGTCTTTAACGTTTTTCTCGTTTAATGTAAACAAACTCATTCTTTGTACGATACACGTGGTTTAACTACCGAATGTTAATGGAGTTGCATGAGAACAATGTTGTTCTTGTCAGTGTTAAGTATATATTAAAGCTTCATAGAAACAAAAAAAAATTGAAAAGAGATTTTTCAGTGCATAAAGCTATCACCAAAACAGCTATTATCTCGCATGGTTTGTTTCAATATCGCTATGGTTACAAAATCTACAGAAGGAATATTTCGCTCGCAGGTGAATGGAACCGAAGTGAATTTTGCCGAGCAAAAGTGCTTTCGATAGCCTTCATCCATAATTATCACAGAAGGAATCCGCAAAATTAGCAATTTTCAATAAAGCATCTGAGTGCTTCAAGGAGAGTTCGCGACTCCTCCCATTCTGCTGAATCACGTGTTTTATTTAAGGTAACGCAAAAGTTAGACCTAAAATGTGGAAGTCTCTCCTCAATAATGCAATCCGCAAATTTTCTTTCATCATCTTCTTCATGTAACCTGTTATCAACCAATTTTTCATCATTGTTCTGAAGTGAGTGTTGTTCTCAGTCGACATCACACCATAGAAGCCCAGGTTCTAGTAGCTTACATGGGACCATATGAAGCAAACAGGTGGCCACAGCTCTCCATGAGCAGCGCTCAAGTAAATTGCGCCACTCGAAAGGAAACAAATGAACGCTATGCGGGACAAAGCCCTCTTTCCGTATCGTTCTCTTGAGTGGGGAATAGGTTCTGTTCTCTGATGTTCTTCGAAGTCATACGCGCCACGCGCGTACAGCAGCCGCTAGGTGGAGGGTGCAGCCTGGCCACACAGTCTGCAATCTTTCCAGGCGGCGCTCCGGCTGGTCCTGCTGTGCGGCAGTCTGGCCGTGGCGCTGGCGGGCAGCGCAGGGCCGCCGTGCCCGCGCAACACCTTTTCCACCTTCGTCAACCTGGACCGTGTGGGCACCACCCTGCTCTTCAGCAGCTGCTTTTCTGGCTTCGAGCACGCCTTCCAGCGCACGATGGAGCGTGCGGCGGACAGCTTCGAGAGCTGCGTCGCCCGGCTGACAGCTGGACGCCGGCTCAGTGCTGACTTCGTCGAGCGCACCTTCTCTGTGCTCGTCGGCCTGAACGAGGAGGCGCCGTCGGCAGAGTTTGCGCTCTGCGTGCTGAAGGGCGAGCGACTGGCCGGCCCGGACGGGCAGCCGCTGCCGGCCGGCTGGCAGGCGCTGCTGGACGCTATGGGTGTCAACCGCTCGGTTGACGTGGTGCGCCGCTGCGTCACGTTTGCCGCCGCACCGCCCCAGCCGGCGCCGCTGCTCCAGTTCCTGGTGTGTGTCAAAGGCGAGCTGTTGCGACGCTGCATGCGGCTTCCAGCCGACGCGCCGGCCCACCAGCTGACGGCAGCAGCTGCGCAGCTGGTGCGGCGCGAGTTGCGCGAGCTGCACACGCTGCATAGCCGGCGGGATGCGCGTGCCGTGGCCCGGCTGCCCAGCACTGTCCGGATGGTGGTGCATCGAGCGCCCACCGAGCTGGTGATCAAGGTGTGAGCCTTGGCGGCCGACCGGACCCGCCGCCCGGCCGACCAGCCATCGTCCGGCCGATCGGGCCCGCCGCCCAGCCGACCGGACCCGCCGCCCGGCCGACCAGCCATCGCCCGGCCGACCGGACCCGCCGCCCGGCCGACCAGCCATCGCCCGGCCGATCGGGCCCGCCGCCCAGCCGACCGGACCCGCTGCCCGGCCGACCAGCCATCGCCCGGCCGACCGGACCCGCCGCCCAGCCGACCGGACCCGCCGCCCGGTGGCCAACCACCCGCTGTGCAGAGCTGACGCGGCGACATACTGACAGAGGCGCCGCAACAGCCGTAGCTGAGAGACAACTGGCGTAAATCCGCGAACACTGTCCTTAACGGAGACCTGTGGTGGCGCAGAATAAATGGTAGCCGGGATGAGCGCAAACAAACTTGTGTGAATTCCACGTTTGAACGCAGCCCGACGCACCAGATGCAAAACTGCTGAGCCCAAAAGCCTAAGCCTGTCAGATGTCTTATGTGGCGTGGTACTTACTACGTAGATGATACCAAAACGCAGCTGAATGCAGCTCGTCGCCTTTGTGATCGATACGGATGATGTTTGCAAACTGACACGGCGTCATGCTGATCGGCTGAGATAGTAGTCCATTTCATTCGATTAATTTCATACATTATATTTGTAAGTGCATGAAGTTTTACAGTTTCATAAGACTGGTCGGCAGAGGCGCTTAGGTGTCCGGGGACGCATGTCACGAATTTGGCCTGGCTTTATCATTTCAACTGACGAAACCGTCTTATTTGGAGGTACTCACAGCGGCAGTCGTGACCAGAGTGGTGAGTAATATACAGCAATATGTCTGGTGAGTATCGGTCAACATAAGCAGTCCTAGAAGTGATTGTGTGCTTTTTATGGTTCAGTCCATGCCCTCTGGGTCGAAGCCACAGTGTGCCGTATTCGAGATCGGTCTCAGTGACGGTCTCTGGCCGGTTACTGGCGCGCCTGCGGGTGGGACAGCTGCGATGTCAGTCGATGGATCGCAGTCGGTGTATTCGCCTCAGCTTTGCGGTTGGTTCCACCTGCTACACTTGTTACATCTGCCATGGTCACTTCGATATGATTCTCACCTTCGAAAACGCCACCAGCTAGGTTGGGCCCAGTCGCGCAAGGTACACAAGTTTGGTGAGTTGATGTTGAGACTTATTTGGCATGCGCCTCGCTTAACAGCATTGTCGCAGACCACGTCGTGTCTGGACCCCCCACACGCAACTCTAGCGGGCGGCATCAAGAAGCCTAATCAAACAGCTTTGCACGGTGGCGGCATTCTTCGCAATATATGTATACATACATACATACATATATACATATATATATATATATATATATATATATATATACATATTAACATCAAATAGGTAACTGACTGCCGTTTTCTTGGTGCGTACCTCGCACTGCGGACTACAAATATGCCGCGCCGCCTCCACTCTGATAATCCAGCCGGCTGGTTGCAGCCAGTGGCGCCGTGGACTTCTGTCAAACCCTTCAGCGATGTCTGTCTGTTAATCCAGCCAGCTGGACGCAGCCAGTGGTGACCGTGGATCCTCCAGCGATGTCTGATAATCGAGCCGGCTGGACGCAGCCAGTGGTGCCGTGGACTTCTGGCAAGCCCTTCAGCGATGTCTGTCTGATAATCCAGCCGGCTGGGCGCAGCCAGTGGCGCCGTGGACTTCTGGCAAGCCCTCCAGCGATGTCTGATAATCGAGCCGGCTGGGCGCAGCCAGTGGTGCCGTGGACTTCTGGCAAGCCCTCCAGCGATGTCTGTCTGATAATCCAGCCGGCTGGGCGCAGCCAGTGGCGCCGTGGACTTCTGGCAAGCCCTCCAGCGATGTCTGTCTGATAATCCAGCCGGCTGGACGCAGCCAGTGGCGCCGTGGACTTCTGGCAAGCCCTCCAGCGATGTCTGTCTGATAATCCGGCCGGCTGGACGCAGCCAGTGGCGCCGTGGACTTCTGGCAAGCCCTTTAGCGATGTCTGTCTGATAATCCAGCCGGCTGGGCGCAGCCAGTGGCGCTGTGGACTTCTGGCAAGCCCTCCAGCGATGTCTGTCTGATAATCCAGCCGGCTGGGCGCAGCCAGTGGCGCCGTGGACTTCTGGCAAGCTCTTCAGCGATGTCTGTCTGATAATCCAGCCGGCTGGGCGCAGCCAGTGGCGCTGTGGACTTCTGGCAAGCTCTCCAGCGATGTCTGTCTGATAACCCAGCCGGCTGGGCGCAGCCAGTGGCGCTGTGGACTTCTGGCAAGCTCTCCAGCGATGTCTGTCTGATAATCCAGCCGGCTGGGCGCAGCCAGTGGCGCTGTGGACTTCTGTCAAACCCTCCAGCGATGTTTGATAATCCAGCCGGCTGGGCACAGCCAGTGGCGCCGTCGGTTTCTGTCGTTGGCCTTCAGCGGTGTCTGTCCACAGCAGTCTCCGGGGCTGCCTGCTGGCCTTCGACCACACAGAGGTCTGGGCCCGAGCACCTAGCCCCCACTCCCACCCTCTGCTGGAATCGGTCCACATCCGAACCGTCGCTGTCAGCAAATGATTGTCATCTCACCACACGGAGCATCCCTGAACCGGAACTCCAGCACCCGCCTTCAGGAACGGCCTAGTGGTCGCTCATAATATGTCCAAACTGTGTCCGTCCAAACATTAGCCGCTGTTTTAGCTGGTGTAACTGATCCGTCCAAACTGCGATCTCCTCTGGTATGCGTTTGAGCCCACGGAAGTGTTTCTTTGGTGATGTTTGCGTGCCTTTGTTATGTCTTCTGTGTCTGTTATATCGCCGCACCGGTTCAGGCTTTGGCTGTACTGGTCGTAGCCTTGACATTCCTCTCCTGTACAAATTTCATCAGCCTTTGGCTATACCGGTCGTAGCCTTGACATTCCTCTCCTGTACAAATGTCATCAATCTTTGGCTGTACTGGTCGTAACCTTGACATTCCTCTCCTGTACAAATTTCATCGGCCTTTGGCTGTACTGGTCGTAGCCTTGACATCCCCCTCCTGCACAAGTTCCACATGCCGACAAAGGGTATCAAAGAAGCTCGAAAGCTCTGTAGCTATGTAGTGAGCTCTCCCCAGAACTTCATTGAACTAAAATATCGGATTCATATCCTTAAATAAACAAATTGTGATCCCAAATATCAGCCCCTCAGCCACGACCGCTCCTGCTCACTCAGTGTCGTGGTGCTATTTCTGCAACGCCGCCCAGAAATATCGGTATTTACTAGTGACACGGACCTCTCGTATGGCCGACAAGCTGTGCTCAGATATTCACAAACAACACCGCAGCACAAATAGTGAACGTCCCGCGGAAAGAAGCTTACTATATGAATAAAGAGGTGCCGAAGCCTTCTTCGTGTGCATCTTGACAAAGTCCGTAGAGCCAGTTCCTTTACGGCCGTCTGCACTTGTTTCAGAGACTTGCAAATAGGCATAAATGCTAAATATGAGCAAGCAACCGGCAACAGACCCACTAACCGGACTCGATGTGTAGAATGATCGCTAACCTCACCTCACTCAGCGCATACTCATTCCCTGAGCCATCTATTCCGTTGTCTTCAGATCTATGCCAAATAGTTCACAGTTATCCATTCCGTCAAGCTCAAGAATATCATGTCCTTTTTGCAGCTGTTGAGTCCGCATAACCAATATTTCATGTCAGCTATGAAAAAGAAATAATATCCATTGTATGCACAGATGCAGTAATGATCAGTGACAACCTACAGACCGACCCCAGGTGGGCCATCAGCAGACGGCAGCCACAGGTGTGTCATCAGCAAACAGCAATCACAGGTGTGCCATCAACAAACGGCAACCACAGGTGTGCCATCAGCAGACGGCAGCCACAGGTGGGCCATCAGCAGACGGCAGGCACAGGTGTGTCATCAGCAAACAGCAGTCACAGGTGTGCCATCAGCAGACGGCAGCCACAGGGTTGCCATCAACAGACGGCAGCCAATAGGCGTGCCATCAACAGACGGCAGCCACAGGTGTGCCATCAACAGACGGCAGCCACAGGTGTGCCATCAACAGACGGCAGCCACAGGTGTGCCATCAGCAGACGGCAGCCACAGACCGGAGCGCCCAGACCTTGTAAATGACGGTCCGTGCCGCGTCTGACAGGCTGACGGTCCGCGCCACATCTGACGGGCTGACGGTCCGTGTCGCATCTGACGGGCTGACGGTCCGTGTCGCATCTGACGGGCTGACGGTGCGTGTCGCATCTGACAGGCGGACGGTCCGCGCCACATCTGGCGGGCTGACGGTCCGCGCCACATCTGACGGGCTGACGGTCCGTGTCGCATCTGACGAGCTGACGGTCCGTGCCACATCTGACGGGCTGACGGTCCGTGTCGCATGTGACGGGCTGACGGTCCGTGTCGCATCTGACGGGCTGGCGGTCCGCGCCACATCTGACAGGCTGACGGTCCGCGCCACATCTGACAGGATGACGGTCCGTGTCACACCTGGCAGGCTGACGGTCCGTGTCGCATTTGACGGGCAGACGGTCCGCGCCGCGTCTGACAGGCTGACGGTCCGTGTCACATCTGGCAGGCTGACGGTCCGTGTCGCATCTGACGGGCTGACGGTCCGTGCCACATCTGACGGGCTGACGGTCCGTGTCGCATCTGACAGGCTGACGGTCCGCGCCACATCTGACGGGCTGACGGTCCGTGCCACATCTGACGGGCTGACGGTCCGTGTCGCATCTGACGGGCTGACGGTCCGTGCCACATCTGACGGGCTGACGGTCCGTGCCGCATCTGGCAGGCTGACGGTCCGTGTCACATCTGGCAGGCTGACGGTCCGCGCCGCGTCTGACAAGCTAACGGTCCGTGCCGCGCCTCGCAGGCTGAAGGGCGGTTGCGACGGCGCCTGACGGACTGACGGTCCGTGGCGGGCCGTGCCCCAGCCCGCATCACTAGCCGCCGCCAACCGTGATTTGGTGATTGTGGTGTTACGGAAGCAGTTCG